TATCTATAATGTACAGACATCGGCCTGTTACAATTTCATTAGATGTATAGATTATCAATAGTCTTCCTTGAGTAGCCCTGTAGTAGGAGCAGAAAGAAAGGCAGGCCGTTGAATTCTTTGGTCCTTGATCTCTCAAGCTGGAAAGGTGGGAGGTGCCAAACCCCCTTAATTTTTTTGTACCAGCTATTCAGTTGAGGAATGCACTGCGACCAGGAGATCCATTGTGCCCTCTTGCTCCTTACAGCACCTCGGTCAGTCCTAGCTCCCTTACGAAATCCAGCAGATCGAGTGGATGTGATTCGGCCGCGGGTTTAGTGACCTGAGTTATTTTTCTCTTCTCCTCGCCACTGCGCCGCATTCAAGGATTACGGCATGAATCAGTGGACCAGACTCCGAGTTTGTATTCGTGACTTCTTAATCTGCAATGACCTGTTAAGATACCTTTTAGACTTCTTAGTTTGTTCCTTGGGAGGCTAATTAGTTTTGCATATATTTTCCTGTTGTATCCCCCGACTAGTTTCTTTGCTTGGCGCAGCCCAGTGACTTGAAGTGATTGGAACTGCGATCTTTGATCTTGGACCAAAGATGCCAGTTCCAATGCACTCTGGTGTTTTTGAGCCGTCTGTGTATTAAATTAGAGGATGCAGGTACGATTAATTCTGGAAGTTAGTATCAGTCCAACTTTCTTTATTTCCTAATTCTATTTTGAAGTTCCTCTAGATGCTAATAACTCTGCCGACATAATCTTGTTTGAATTGGGTTATGGGGATCTGTTCTAGGAGAGATTCCATATTGCGATATGATACACCCATCTTTGGTGAAGTTTGTTAGGGATCGTTCGGCTGCAGGTCCTATGCGGCGCGAGCTCAAGAATAACCGCCATTGCTGCCATGGGGCAGGTGTACATTGCGCCTGTTATGCACACGAACGTGAGAAGTTGTAGTTTAGTGAGTGAGCGCCACACAGTCACTAAGTTAGTTCTTGAGCCCCTGGTCACCGCTCCATAGGTTATCATTGGTTTGACAATCATAGTGTACACCCATCAGAGTATCCGAGGGCTGCAGTCTCAGGATTTACCTGCAAGATGTTTGCATACCATAAGTGCTCTTGTGGCTTTGGATGTCGTCATGTCGACGTGTTTCTTCCATGAGAGTTTTGTGTGTGAGCGTGATGCTCAAATATCTCACTTCGGAAAGTTATAACCTCTATGTCATCCAGAGTTTTGATTCTCATTCCCGGTAGGGTTCTTCTTCTTGTGAATGGGATAATGACTGTTTTCGTTGGGTTTATATTTAGACCCACATTTACACACCACCACTCTGTTATTCTTAATGCCCTTTGAATTATGTCATATAGGGTGTTCTCGAACATTCCTCTTGTTATTTTGACTATGTCATCCGCATACCCCTGGCATCGGATTCCATTGTCCGATAGCGTTTGCAGAAGCTCATCTACTATTAAGCTCCGGAGGATTCGAACGGATTTGGTTATCAATAATTTTCTCCATCGCAGTTGGAGTAAAGGAGGTCAAGCTAATTGGCCTAAAATATTTGGCTAGGGAGTAATACTTTCTTCCTATCTTGGGTATAAACGTTACCGGGGTTCTTCCCCACACTGTTGGGACGTAGGATAGGGCTAGACTATCCTTCATTATACCTACTAGATGTTTGGTAACTAAGTCCTCTCCCCATTGTAGTAAGGCCGGATAGATACCATCTACACCTGGGGACATGTACGGATCAAATGAGCCCACCGGGAAGATGATTCTTACAATGCCCCGTTTGGATGAGGATGGTCTAAATGTCCAAACAGGCATTTTCATTATCTGATCAGATGTATCCGGAAAGTGTGTAGAGAGACGTGTGCTCTTTCGTCCTCGCTACCAGTGTACGTTCCATCCGGCAGCTTGATTGATAGTTGGGCCTCTATCCCATCCTTTGCTAGGGCTTTATGCAGTCTTGCCTCTGCAGGAGTGGATGTTATATTCTCGCAGAAGCTTCTGAAGCTTCCCTCTTTGATTTTCTAATCTCTTTATTGTATGTGGTCGGACTCGTGGCATAGTCCCCCCAGCACCCAGTCCTTTTTGGCTATATTGAATTGAATTTCTAGCCTACCTCATGATCCACTGATCGGATCTTAACCAGATTAGTATGGGACCACCTCGGATACACTAACTTTTCGATGCAAAAAGAATTATTGAAATCGGTTGACGTGGTCCAAAGTTATGCGGTAACATACATAAAAAAAAAATATTCCGACGAAATGATAACCTCCTCATTTTTTGGAAGTCGGTTAAAAATTAAATTGCTTGAGACGGGTGTGACATGGGAATCCCGGGCTCCCGGCCTTTTTAATCACCGAAAATCCCGATTTTCGGGATTTGTAATTTGCACTGATGGCAATAATAGAAACTCCTTTTCTTGACCAGTATTGGCTATATTTCTTTTTTTTTTATTTAAGAATTAATATTTTTTTATATATTTCTAGCTCATTGTACATATAACACCGTGCGATAGTCAACTTTACACACAAAAAAAAATCAATATATTCGCGAAACCTTGGGTCAAATATAGTAAAATTGCGTTTTTAGTTTTTCACTCTGATGTCAGTAATTCAAAAATGATTTGAAAAATTCAGTAAAATGTGTTTAGAGAAAAAGTATGGGTATCAAATTAAAGCGAGAATTCTGTAGAATTTAAACGGATTGAATTGGTGCATAAGGACTGGTAAGTATTGAAAATGTCCTTTTAAAATTTTATCCATGAAATTTCGCAATATTTGTTTTTGAAAAAATCATATGTTAAGGACTTGTATAAACTCGATAACATCCTCGAATTTCGTCCTTCTAACCTTTTCAGCTTAAAAAATTACCTATTCGACTTTGTGAATCCAAAAATTTTTTTTTTTAATTCTAAAGAAATAGCCTCTTTCATTTGGTAACCATATTTTTATTCTACATTGAATTGAATTTTTTAAATAATTTTTGGAATTACCTAATCATATCTTTGAAATTATAAAGTATTCAAAATAAATCCTGACGTCAGAGAGAAAAAATAAAAACGCCACTTAAAAAAAAAGTAGGTTTCAAACCCATTTATTTATTTTATGGTAGGAGAGATATAAGCAATTTTTTCGATTTAAGTTGTTGAAAAGTAATGAATATCTGAATCCCGGGACTAATACCGGAATCCGGGGATTGTGATAACGACATCCCGAAAAACCCGGTATCGCAAAAAGCGAAAAAATTAACATCCCTAGTGGTACAACATTTTGTGACGGGTGGGAGGAGTCACCTTTGAGGACACATAGTTCTTGAGTAAAATGAACACTGCTGATTTGATGTGAATTTTTATTATATTTTTAAAAGGGGGAAGGGGGGTATGGTATAGCTTACCATCAATGTAAAGTTCATGAATTATTCTTTCTTCTTGGGTAATTATTTTTTGCATTGCCACCTTTAGTAGATGAGGAATGCCTTGAAAACTTGATGCAAACATATTACAGTATCTTATACATATATGTATGCATTTATAACAATAAAATAGAGAAAATAGTGAAAAATAAATGGATATTCTAAAGATTTATTCTACCTGTATTACCGTTTTTACAGATTTAAACACAATTTATGTAATTACTTTTTTTATCTGAGGTGTCGTCTTCGTTGGACTGGCGCATATGCTTTTCTTTGTTACATATAATAAACCGAAAGGTTAATGACTTCAGAGAGAGGTACAAAGAGAATCACGATTGTTGTTAGTCGAATCCACTAACAAAGCACGTTCAGGGTTAAAGTGCGTGCCAGATGTGGCAATTGAGAAATTTCAGAAAGCAGTTACATGTGCAGTTACGCCTTGCATGTAAAGTGTCTTTCGGAAGAGTTTTTTTTTTTTTAATATCCGAAGGGCGAATTACAGATTGCTAGTGCAGCAAGAGCAAGTTGAAATATATTTCGTAAATTGATTTGCGCGCTTTTAGTTGTAGTCACACGTTGCAACTTTAATTGCTGAAACTGATTTTCGAAAAGTAGCAGAAACGTCTTTTTGGCTGTACACACGTTTAAATAAAATTTCTCGTTCTCAATTGCGTGGAAAAGTTGGAAATATTGCCAAGTCTGGCAAGCTCTTAACGCATTTCTAGTGAATCAGTTGTACTGATTAAAAATTTTATTTATTTTTTTAATGTACTTTTTTGTTCAATAATTCTTTTTTTTTTCGTTTTAATTCCATATTTATTCGACAAAACGTGTCAATTATATAGCGTTATTTGTTTTATTTATACTGTCTACGTTTGTAGGTGTGCATGTAGCGCTTGACAGTGTTTAAATCGTAATTATAAATGTTGAATTAAGCAGACGAAAATATTTAAGGCATATTAGGAAAACAATCGAAAAAATAAATGCTCGTGCAGTCAGTCTGCTTATGAATCGCAGCTGTATAAATTTTGAAATTTATTTCAATATGCTATGATGCAGAAGGGCTATGAAGTTGAGCGGGTCGAATTGTGGGAGGCTCGTGTTCCATTGTCGTCAGCGGTCGCTGCGTACGAAGCGAGCAGAGGAGGTGGGTATTTTTTGCTTTATTTAATTTAATTTTGTTTCATGTATTTACACTTTTCCGATGTTTAACGACAAGAAATTAACGCTTTTTACTTAATATAGTTAGTCATGTTAAAACAAAATTAGTAATTCGTCGCAGACACAAACTTCAGTGCAAATTAGCGCAACGAAATTTTATTTATTTTTAATTGGCATTACAAATTTGTAGGAACGGTAGAAAGCCAGCTGAAGCGCCTACAAATATTGAGAAATTAGTTGAATTGATTTTGACCATCGACAATTTGCAATGAGCAAGCACACGCGAGCGCAATTGCCCAATGAAGGTACTGAAGTTGGTTAAATATTTAGAAGACACATTTTTTAAATTTATATCCATATTTTTTTTTTTTTGGTGACGGTGCATAGTCCTAAAACTCTAATTGTCAATTTTATCTTATAATTACAGTCGGCCTGCCGCCATCTGTGCAAATACCAGGCGCTTCAATTTTCGGTGCTGGCGGTGCACCATCGCCGACCACTTTGAATGCGCTGATGTCACAGCAACGTCTACTGGAGCTTTCACGTTTCGGCGGTCTACGCGGCTACGATATCGCTCAGCATATGTTGTCGCAGCAGGGTGCTGTCTCGAAGCTATTGGGTGAGTTGCGAATATTTGCGTTTAACCTATTTTGTTTTTGGGAAGCACCAATGCTTAGTCTTTGGTTTTGACGAGAAAAGAAAATTTTGTTATTGTTATTATTTTTTATTGCATAGTTTTATAGAAAGGGTTATCTTACGCTATAATCGCGAATTCGGTCGAGTTCGACGAAGTTCGTAAGACGTACCTTTTTCCTCTAGCTGCCGTACATCTCTCTTCCTCCACCACAACCTACATGCACTCCGCCGAGAATTTTCAGATCGATCATACACAGTTTTTACAACATATGTTGTTGTGAAATTTAAGACCAAACTATCGGGGCAATTCTGGCCACTGTCTTTCAACTCACCACAGTCTTTCGAAAGACAAAATAATTTCGTAAGACAATTGTCAATTCTGGAAACTATCTTGAAAACTTGTTTCTGTCTTTCGAAATACTAACTGTAAAATCTGCTAACGAGAAGGTCTTAGCGTTATGCTGTTCGCCTTTTAGCAATAAGATTTTTATAAACAATAACAATTATCTAATAAATAAAAGAAAATTTAATTAAAAAAGAAAAAAATAAATAAAAGGAAATTATAAATGAAATGAAATTAAAAGAAGTATGTAGTTCTTTTTGAAATCAATTTAAAAAAAATAAATAAAAAAGAAAATAGGAGATATGTACTTAAAAATTTTATTAAATTAAAAATTTTTTATTTTTAAAACAAAACCTAAAAACTAAAGCAAAATCAATTAAATTGAAAAAACAAATTAAATTGAAAAAAGGAAAAATAAATAAAATATTTTCTTTTAAAATGAAATGAAATTAAAACAAATATTTTTCTTTTTTAAATAATAACATCTAAAAATGAAAAGAAAATTAAACCAAAAAAAAAAACTAAATGAAATAAGAAAATCTTTTTTTAAAAATTAAAAGTAAAACTAAGAAAAAAAATTAAATTAAAGAAGAAAAAATACATAAAACAAGTTTCTAAAAATTAAAAAAAAATATATTTTTCTTTTCAACACAATAATTTTAACAAGTAATTTTGAAGCAAAAAACTATACCGACTTCAATTCCCATATGAAAATTTAAGATTGCCGTTAATTTCTTCAAGATCCAATGTTCGGATCTAAACACCAAATTAATATGGGACCACCCTTGAGGTACCGCCTTTCCTTTGGAAAGAATTGTAGAAATCGGTTAAGGTGGTCCAAAGTTATGCAGTAACATACATAGAACAAAAAATATTCCGACGAATTGGTAACCTTCTCCTTTTTGTGAAGTCGGTTAAAAATAAAAAGAAAGTTAAATTAAAACGGAAAATATGTTAGCTATAAAAAAAATAAAAATTCTGTTGCCCAAGGTGTAAATCTCGGATCACTGTGCTTTGCTGACTCGGCCATTACGTATATTCCAGCGAGGCGAGCTAAATGATATATATGAGCTTTCTCTCAAAATATCTGAATGAGTGAGCTTTTTTTCTACCACTTTTGTGCTATAAGAAAAAAAAACTAAAAGCTCTCTCTGGTCGTTGTTGCTCTATATCGGTGATGGGCACTGCCTTGCCCGCGGCAAAGCTCTTTTAAGCTTTATATTCATTTGTATAGAAAGCTTAAAAGAGCTTTGCCCGCGGGAAAAGCAGCGCCCATCATCGCTCTATATCAGCAATGGGCAGAGAGAGCTTTTACCCTATTTGCGACCATATAAAATCCACATAGGGCTTTGTAGGGTTCGCCCGGGGGCGCTGGTGTTGAGCATCACTGCTCTATAGAAACGATGATCAGATAAATCGGTCAAGATCAAAGAGACCTTGTACTTTTAGCGCGACTCTGTAAAATCAATGAAAAGCTTTAAAAACCTCCTACCGTGGGATATGTTCTGTTCGTGACTGTGATGCCAGTTAGAGCTTTTTAAGCTTTCTATAAATTTTAAATTAGTAAATGTGCACGCTGTACATAAAAACTCTCTGGTCGTCAATTATATAAAACACAAAAAGGTGCTAGCTTTTGTTTTTGAATCAATTTTAATACTAGTTTTCAAGACTTACACTGACTAAAGATTTTGGTATAGTGATGACGTGACGAAGAAAGTAGAGATCTGTTGAAAATATCAACGAATCACTCGGGTGAAAAAGATGGTAGCTTTTGCTCTTGGATGGTTTGGAGTATCTTACTTTAAAAAAGGTCGTCCTAGATATTTATTGGCTCTAACTAGAGACGATGAGGAATGCCTTGTGATCCCTTTTAATAAAAGCCTATCCTAGGTGCCGTTTACTACTGTTGACTGAGCGTAACAGAAAAAGGTTAAAATTGCAAAAATGTGCTAGGCTTTTTTTCAGTAAAAAACTCATCCTCCACATACATTTTACGTTTTATGAATAAAGGGTGCGCAAAAAGCTGCAAATTATGTACTTAAAAGAAATAGTCCCTTTTAATATTTGAGATATTTTTATTGAGCTTTGTACCACGATTGTTTATTAGGAAAAATTGAAAAAGCAATAAAGTCAAAGCGGTAGAAGTTATAGCAGCTATTTCACCACATCTCCTCATTCGACTTCTTTTTTTTAGACTTCAGCAGGGATCGAACCTGCGTAATCGATGTTCAAAGTCAGAAGCGTTAACCACTGAGCTATGCACATCCCGTAAACTCTTGTTGCTAATTTATTTTCCTTATTCAACCATTTTTCAATTTCTCCTAATAAACAATCGTGGTACAAAGCTCAATAAAAATATGAAAAATAAAATGTTAATAAGCCACAATAAAATTGACAAAGATATAGTCCCTTCTTTAATTTTTTATTAGCAAAAAAAAAATTAAAATAAAGACTCTTAAAAGCACCCAAATATTTACTGGCTTTGTTTTCTTGTTTCTTGGTACAAAATTAACTATGTAAGTCAATGTCAAATTTTAAAGGAAGTGTGGCAAATGCCAAAAGACATAGTCAACATTGACTTCTTAATTAAATTTTGTTATCAACTTTTCATTCAAATTTTTATTTGGCACTGACTCTAAACCTATTTGAATCGGTACACACATACATACATATAGGTACTCGTACATGCCCAGTAGAAATCGGTTGTATGCATTCATGCATACTGCCTGCTGTATGAGTACGGTGACCATATTTATGAGAGCTGAATATGGGACAAAAAATAATTTTGAAAATTTTTTCTACAGCAGCTTACAGATCTTAAAGCCTTCTTTGTTAAAAATAAAAAAACGTTAAATTTGAGTATAATAAAGTGCACTTTTAAGTCGCTAAGGCTTACCATTAATTTTTGGCAATTTTTGTTTTGGCGGTGTTACGTGTTACGTATTTTTTCATACTAAATAAGGATGTCCGACCATTTTTTTGAAAGAGAAGCAAATGAGCATAACTTTTCCCTCGCCCTTTATTATACTCAATTTTAGTGAGTTACATAATTTCAAACCACATTTTTTTTCAACGATTCTAATTAAAAAGTTTGAAATTTTTGTGAAACATTGCAGAATTAATTTGTATAGTCTTTGCACAAAGTTGGAAATTTGGTATTACATATAGGGTTTTTATTGGGAATAGAGCTTAACTTTCATAAAATAAATAATAAACATTAAAAAAACTAAGCCAAAACTTACTAAAATGTTGAGTCCAAATTTCTATTTTGGTCACTGTATTTATTCCTCGATTCGAATCACAGGTATTCAGATTAGAAACTGTTTATGGAGAAAATCATGATCATATACCAACATCACTTGACCGGACGGATACGGATGGTCACCGTATGCAGGAGTGAAATAGTGTGAACAATTCATGCGTAGTCATGAATTTCCACAAATAAATTCAAATTCTACGTACGTACGCGAATACACAGAAGCTCGATTACCACTAATGCTTTAAAACTGTTCCATTAATGCATTTTTGTATGTTTGAAACATTTTAATCAGCCACATGCATACAGCAGTAGTACAAGTGTATGGTTGGAGTACGCATACGCTCTGAGAAACCACACGTGTTAAATAAAAATTAGGTAAGGTCGATTTATACTGGCATGTATAAACAGCAGCAAGTTTATGCCACCAACAGCGATGTCGTATGCAAAAAATTTCTATTGAGCGGTCTATCCGTGCCAGTTAGTAAACACACGTGGTAGTTCCGACTGAAAGTAGGTAAATAAATAAATATTTAGCTATTTAGGTAAATAAGTAAATATTTCGTTTGTGAATGATACCAAAAGTATTGACGGTAGCTTAGGAGGTGTTTACTACTGGCGAATATTCAAATACTGTACGTAATTCACTATACTTGCACACAAATAATATAAGTTTAAGTAAATATTTTGGCTCACTGCACACTTTCTTGTTGAAAGTGAAGTGAATGTGTCTTTAATTCTTATTATATACACACTTCGTCAAAGAATGAACTGTAGGCGTAGGTGAAAGCAGTCATGGTACATACTTTTTTTTGGAAAACCACCACTCAACACCTATACTTATTAAAATGTTTCCCGACAATATTCCCTCCAATTTTTATCTAATAATTTGTTATAACATCAAAAGAAAACCGGAAAAAGTTTAACTACAAAATAGGGAAGGCAACACAAACAAAGTCCCTTAATCCTGTTAAGGCGCTCATTCATATCTCTAATTCTCGTCTAATACTTACAACTTATTTTAGTAATCCTTGCTACTTACTCTCAAAATGTGCACAATGTCGTAAATTTTCCAAAATTGATGAAAATTTACAAAGCGAGCAAGTGCCAATTCATGTAAAAATTAGCTGTGAACGGTAGTTTGAAAAAAAAAAAAAAAAACATGAAGTTGTTGGTGCGGCTGCTGTAGTGTAGTGGTTAGCAGTGCGCGCTATCACTCCCGAGCGCCTGGGTTCAAGCCCTTGTCAAAACAACATCGCAAAAAAAATATAAAAATAAGGTTTTTTCTTAACAGCTGTCGCCCTTCGGCAGGCAATGGCAAACCTCCGAGTGTATTTCTGCCATGAAAAACAGCTTCTCTTAAAAATACAATCGCCGTTCCCAG